ATATTTTGTATAATGTATAATATATAATGTATTATAATAAATTCTATATAAAGATTAACATCATTATATAATGTATCATTAATATTCTAAATAATATATAATAATATAATATATTATATATATATATATATAGATATATCATATATATATATATATATATATATATATATATATATATATATTAAATACATAATATATAATGTTTATAATAAATCTAAATAAATTATACCATATTTATTATAATGTCTATTTAATATATAATTATACATATGAACATTATACATATATATTATAATAAATTCTAAATAAATAACACCATATATATTATAACAAATTCTAAATAAATAGCTATATACTATAACAAGGGCAATTAGGTAATAGAATTGAAATAATGATTCAATGAGGGACAAAAAAAATTATAATGATCTATTGATTTATTATAATTAATCAATACACCAAATGATATATTACACATATAAACATATATTGATATATATTGTATTATAACATATGATTATAGATAATAACATATTAGTATAATGTATAATATATATATGTTATATATTATAATTATATACCTATATAGTATAATGTATAATGTACAATGTATAATGTATAATGTCGAATGTATAACTTGTTTTATATCATTAACATATTATGTATAGTATAACAAACACCACACACCACACACACACACACATATATATTATAATGATTTATTATATTAATCTAGTTTTATTTATTACCTATTTGTATATGGTTTCATAAATACTTACACAATTATAATTTGTTATTGTATAATATACGATTGATTTTCAAATTTTAAAATTAATAGATATATATGATTCATTTTTAATTATTAAAATTATATGGGTATATACACACACACACCACACACACACACACACACACACACACACACACACACACAAACACCATATATATATATATATATACGGGCCGGGGCGAGGATTTTGGGATGGGGACAAAATGGGGGCGGGGCGAGGCGAGGCAAGACCTATCCCGACCCCAACCTGTCCCTGAATTTCAAGACTAATTTTAGGCCCGATCTCGGCCCAAATCCTGAATGATTCGGGGCGAGTCCTTGCGGGGCCGGGTTTTATGCCTATCCCTAGTAATTTCAATGGATATTAAAGCCGATAAAATTTACTTGGAATATTTATAATTAATTACTAGAATTATAATATTCAATGGGGTTGAAGATCTATGTCAAAAATTTAGTTTATCAATTATAATATTGATTCATTTTCTATGTGAACCTCACATATAACAAGAGTAAATGACATGTTCTCACCCAAGGTTTAGCAAAATATCAAGTTCTTACCCTGGATTCATAAATTCCAAATCCTCACCCATAAAGTAACACTATTAGTGACTGTTGAGTTCTGACACAAATGCAGAGGGTGACACAAATTCCCACTCTTAAATGAGTGTGAGTTTTGTTTCATAGCCATTCGAATCACATTTCATTTTCAATTGTAGTAATGGTAAGCTTAATTTCTCAGTGCTTCAGTTGGAGGGTGTGGTGGCTAGGTGGTGGCATTGTTGTTGGCTTGCCATGAACAAGAGGATACAGTGGCATCGGTTAGGCGATGGGTGAGAGAGATGTTTTTGCATAAATGAAAATATTAAAATATAATAAATGATCATTTCAGCCTTTAACTATTAAAAGAAACAAACTGATATTAATTTAAGGGTGAGAATATGAAATTTAAGAATCCAAAGGTGGAAACTTGCCGTTTCGTTAAACCTTTGGTGGAAACATGTCGTTTTACTCCGTAAAACAACCTTATTTGAGATTAAAAAATGATGATTGAAGTTTGAAGGATTATGATTATTCAGTTTATTAATTTAAAAATCATATTTGAAGTATCTCATCTCAACTACAATAATATTGAGCAGGATTTGAAATGCATCGTAAAGGACAAATATATTAATCTTAAAAACATTGAAATCTCTTTATAGACAAAACTCCAAAAGGGTAGATGTCTAGATGAGATGTTGTCTAATGAAAACAAAGATTAGAGTACACAAATAAATTAAAGATGAGCTCAGCCATGTTGTCACTTGTCATTATGAATCTATGATGCATGTTCTTGGAGTCATGTTGTTTGCCTCTATTTACTTTTATTAATCTCATCTGTCGACAATATGATATCTTCAAGGAAATTTGTGTTCTGGTCTACAGTCTTACTATTTAATCCTAATAATCTTTTTTCTAATTTGTTTGGACAAAGAGAAAAGTGAATGAAATAAAAGAAAAGAAAGACATAAGAGGAAGTAAAAGGATAAAAGTAAATTGGGGAGCTGTTTTCATGTCATCCTATTTAATATTATTTACCCTTTTTGAAACGCTATATTATATACAATTTGTATGTGTAATCTTACTCTTATAATTATCATCACGAGTTATTCGGTGATTAATTGTAAGGATAAAGAAATCTTGAATGAGAGACAATTGTGGATTTAATTGTTATATGCTTGAGGAAACATATAATCCTTTTCGATTTTTCTTTTTCATTGATTCCCCACTAATGCTATCAACTCATAACTTCTTTTAATATTCCATTGATTGGAATCTTGAAAGCATACACAGCCTCAATGATAACCTATAGGAAAGTATAGTTGGTTTAAGAGTTTATTTCTCCATAATTATGATACAGAAAGGCCTCAACTAGATCATAGAAAAATACGGCCTAAGAGAACTCAATACTCTTACATTACAAAGCCACGAGGTGTTCCCACACTCAAAGGTATGGGATTAATCCCCGTTTCGGAGTTCATGGGATACCCTTGGCCACAAGTTGCTTCCAGTAAGATTCGAACTCCTGACATTACAGGTAAAGTCTATCCAATTGAGAGTTCATTTATCATCTAGACCACACCCTCGAGGTTAGATTTGTATTTACTTGTACAGCATAGAATCATATAAAGGTAATAATAAGAAAGAAAAAATTCTCTCCTGATGATTGTTATCTTAATTTATTTGCTTCCACTTGATCATGATACTTCATAGGACAAATTTTCAACCTAGTGCTACAATCTTTTGCTTAGATATGAAGTTATGCTTAGTCTCCACTAGTTTGCATGTGACAAAGACTTTGACTTAAAAAGAGATATCAAATCGGATATTTGGAGCCATAAAGGCCAATGAACTTGCTAGCTACTTTCTAACACAAAGTTGTCGCCATGTCTCAATCTGAAATGATAGATAAACTGTACACTCTAAAATGGAAAATCATGAAATGTGAACAGAGCTTTAATGAGTAGATATTTGAATCCACTCGCTGGGGAGAAAGTCTCATGTGAGTCTTTGTAGCAACCCACATGGTTGAAAATTAACCTATTGATGTTTCAAGTGAAATCAAATATCGTTCATTGGTTTAGTACGCATTTTGATAAGTTACTAGCCATGGCCTGGATCACTCACTTTCATGATAACTGTCAGGCAGGGCCGGCTCAAGGGTAGGCAGGTGAGGCCCGTGCCTAGGGCCCCCCAAAATAGGGAAAAAGTGGTCCAATTTTTTTATAAATTTTTTTTTAAATATATTATAAAAATAAAAATAGTACATAATTTTTTTTTCAGGTTAGCCCAAGACGTCAAAAATGCCCAAATTTATTATAAACTTTTTACAATATTCCTACCCAAAGTTTGACAAAATAGTGAGTTTGTACTTCTAGTTTCATATATTTCAATTTACATCCCTAAATTAACACATTGAATTTCTTGTAACAATAAAAGGCTAAAATTATCATTTAGATGTCTCAAATTACTCATCCTCAATTCAATCACAAAATTCGACATTCACATAAATTATCTCCACCCCTTTTTCGCCGCCGATCGTTTGGAGCTGATTCTGGTTGATTTTCTCACCAAATCGACCAGAATCATCATTTTATCTTTTCCCAAGTGTTTTCCGAACCTTCATAGCCCTCGATTTGGCCAATTTTTTACGAATCTCCCAACCTAACCCCACCACGTGCGACAATCATTTTTGACCTTTTCGACATGTACCCAGCGTTATTGGCCTTCCCCGACACCACCATCTTCCTCCCCTCCGCCCTCTCACCAAAACCCTTATCATACCTCATCCGTTTACTCCGCCAATCGCTGGCTACCAATACCATTTGGGCTACAACTTCTCAAGCCTTTTCGGTCAATCATGGCATTGGAAATCACTCATTTCACCACCCATCGCTTCTCTAGCATCTGCTCTCCAAAACTCCCCACCAACCTAACCCCATTAGCCTGTCGGTCGTTGTCCACCTCTCCTAGTGATTTTGCATCTCAAAAGTCAAGAATAATAAAGTTGATATAATTTTTTTAATATATGTTTATATTATTAGAAGGTCCCAAAGTAAGTACTCTTGCCTAGTGTCACAAATGTTCTTGAGACGGTCCTACTGTCAAGAGAGGTAGGTAGGAGGAGACTCAATAACTAGAGGGTCTTGTGATTCGGAGATGTACAAAATAGTATAGTTTGTTAAGTATGAATCGAAGCAGATAAATAGTCAAGTAGATATATGAGAGAAAAGAACTATCAGAAAGTGAAACGAGAGGATCTTGTGATGAAGTAATTAAAGTAAAATATCATATTAAAGGAATTATCTTTTGAGTGGTTGACAAATGTTTAAACCATATTAAAAATATGTAATATCTAAAGCCAATATTTAAACTGCTGTTTTAGAATTGCCCTTCACCTGAACTTCTAACTCTTATAGATTCTTAAGCTGCAGATTGAGGGATGAAACTCGGAGTGCAATTTCCTTTTTTAACTTACAAAAAAAAGGGAGCAAACAAGACAAGTATGTGGGAACCGCTATTCTAAATAATTTAATTTAATATGAAGATATCTGTCATATTTTTGTCATGTTGTAGGTTGAAAATCATATACATTTATGCAGAAAAAAACAAATGAAGAACCTAACATGTTATGTCGTGTACAAACTACAGATTCTTAGTTTCAATATTGCTAAATTAATCAAGTAGCTAGGATGGAGAGAGGAGAAATATCAAGTCTTGAGTCACCTTTAATTGGTAATCAAGAAAGACCAGACTGTGGATTTGATGGGGAAAATTCTCAGCAGCAAGGTGTTAGTACTTGTGAAAATTTTGTTGAAGAGGCAAAGAAGCAACTATGGCTAGCGGGGCCACTTATTACAGTCAGCTTATTGCAGTACTGCCTACAAGTGATAGCAATTATGTTTGTTGGTCATCTTGGGGAGTTGGCTCTATCCAGTGCTTCCTTGGCCTCTTCCTTTGCTTCAGTCACTGGTTTCAGTGTTTTGGTAAGTCGGGTTTTCTGATTTATCTTCATTACATGTTGCTATTGATTGGTTGATTTTGCTAGTTGTGAGTCCATTTGCAAATGGAATTGAATGAAATCTAGGGTTAGTTTAGTTGTGGGACAAATAACCAGTTAATTACCCTGTTTTAGCGAATGTTTTAATGCCTATGCAAATGTGAATTGGACTTGAGAATTGCCTCTTCAATCTGAATTCTGCAAAACTTTGTTGCGAAGTGAAACTCAATTTGTTTGTTACACTACAAAGAAGAACCATAAATATGTTGATCCACATTAGATAGACATGAGTCGGGTCTTGAACTTATAAGGACAGATAGATAGCATCACCTAATATAGACATGGGTTAGCTCTTGAACTTATATGGATAGATAGACAGCATCACCTGATAGGCTAATTTTTTGGATAGGTTGCAAGTGTCCGGCCCATGACAACATACAGAAGAGACCAACTAAAGGCATGTATAGAACTGTTTATATGGAAAGCAATTTTGTCGCATCGCACTTTCTTTAAAACAACCTAACAAACAACCTAACAAGCAACCTAATATGTACTCCAAATGAAGCTTTAGTTTATGTATGATGCTTATAGTTTTTTTTTCAATATGATGCTTTATTTAGTTTCTGTATTAAATGAGTCTCCACACATTATAATCCTTTTACAATATGCTGTAGAATTTAATTTGCTTCACTAAAATCATATTGGAAGCAATGCTAAAACTTTGATCTTGTAGTTAGGAATGGGAAGTGCATTGGAGACACTATGTGGACAAGCCTATGGAGCCAAGCAGTACCATATGCTTGGTATTCACACACAACGAGCAATGGTGACTCTTCTAGCAATAAGCATTCCCCTCGCAGTTATATGGTTCTATACCAGCAACATTCTTATAGCTTTAGGCCAAAATCATGAGATATCAATTGCAGCCGGAATCTTCAATCGTTGGATGATTCCTAGCCTTTTCGCGTATGGCGTCCTCCAGTGTCTAAACAGATTCCTACAAACTCAGAACAACGTTCTTCCTATGCTGATATGCTCTGCAATCACAGCTTTTCTCCACATTCTAGTTTGTTGGGGTCTTGTTTTCAAGTCTGGCCTTGAGAGCAAAGGAGCTGCCTTAGCGATAACCATTTCGAATTGGGTTAATGTGTTTTTGTTGGCAATGTACATAAAGTTCTCTCAGGCTTTTATGAAAACATGGACAGGATTTTCGAGAGAAGCGCTGCACGATATTGTGAGCTTTTTAAGGCTTGCTGTCCCTTCTGCAATTATGATATGGTAATGCCATCTCCTTAAAGGCTAGCTATATATAACATTATAATTTATCTAACTCTTAACTATTTTGAAAGGCAGCTTTGAATACTGGTCATTCGAGATGGTTGTTCTACTTTCTGGTCTTCTTCCAAATCCAAAGCTAGAGACATCTGTGTTATCCATAAGGTATCCTTTTGTAGTCGCATCACATTAACATTGATCGAGTATTATTCGTTAACAATGGTTCAATTTCACAGCCTTAACACATGCTGGATGGTCTATATGATCTCTGTTGGTCTTGGTGGTGCTATAAGGTCAATTAAAATTTCTTAATTCTTTCTTCTTCTTTTTTTTTTTTTTCTTTTCAATCTCCTCTTTCTTCAAGCAACCATCTTAAGTCTGTTGTTACAGTACACGAGTATCAAATGAGCTTGGTGCTGGGAACTCACAAGGCGCCCGCTTAGCTCTCAGGGTGATGATCATAATAGCAATCACAGAGGGTGCAACAGTTGGGATCACGACAATTTTGGTACGCCATGTTTGGGGAAAGGTCTACAGCAATGAAGCAGAAGTGATCAAATACGTTGCTAAAATGATGCCACTTCTAGCATTATCCGACTTCCTGGATGGATTCCAATGTGTGCTTTCAGGTCCTAGTTGATCTCAAATAACAATTAAGAAACTAAACTAAATTCATTTCTATCGTGATTAATATGTTCAATTTAAAATTAATCCAAATCAGTCCATTTAATATGTAGGAGCTGCAAGAGGATGTGGATGGCAAAATCTCTGTGCATTAATCAACCTTGGAGCTTATTATGTTGTAGGAATTCCTTCTGCAGTGCTCTTTGCATTTTACTTTCATATTGGAGGCATGGTAAGTCTCTCTCTTTCCTTTCCTCTCTTTCATTCGCGAAAATGCTTCGAGTACATTCTTTGTACAGTATGCAAGCAAGTGCTTACTGCTGCAATTTCGTTGTTATAATAAATCTGCAGGGGCTTTGGATGGGAATCATTTGTGGACTTTCTGTACAAGTTTTAGCACTTGTTACAGTAAATGCATGTACTAATTGGGATCAAGAGGTAAGCCAATTCTGTTAAGCTAGATTTGAAATTTTTGGTATGACCTCTCCTAACACTTTTTATTTTTATTTAGGCAGCAAAAGCCCTGCACAGAGTTCAGAAAACCGGCCTTCTTATTGAAACTGCACCATAGAGTTGCATTTTGCATCAAATCAAGACAACCAGTTGAAGCTAGATTGTAATCTTCATTGAGGAAAACAAAAGCTTCTGTATAAATGATAAAGCAATTATGTGCATTTAAAATCAATACCAAAGAAGCTATTCATTGTTGTATCTATTATGCTAGCTTATAACATAGGGAAGCCCAATATAATATCCAAACAAGTTTAAGGGAAAAAGCATTTTAGGTTGAAACTTGAGATCCTGGAAACAAAATTGTGCAAGCATCTACTTTGATCATATAAGCAGCTCAGCAATTAAAAGGCAAAAGATGCTACTAACATTTCAATAAAGACTTTACAAAAGTTGCTCTCAGGAACTAAGTCAGTACTGGACTTTGCATATGTTTGGCATTTTGAAAACTAATTCACCAGTAATGGCCACCATGCAAAAGTCGTAAAAAAATTGAGGCTTGAGGTGTAGAAACTTTGACTCCGCAAACTACTGCTCGTGAGGCGGATGATCAGGTGATTGCAGAGCTTATCAACATAGGAGGAACATTGTTCTGTGTTTGTAGGAATCTGTTTCAAACCTTAGTTTATCACTTATAATATTGATTCATTTTTATGTGAACGTCACATGAAACAATATGATATCTTATTTTAATTATTATAAAGAAAGATGATTATTCAGTTAATTAATTTAAAAATAATGTTTGTCATATGTCTTATTTTAAGTACCTCATCTCAAATACAATAATATTAATGAGTAGAACTTGAAATGCATAGTGACAAAGACTTCACTTCAAAAGAGATATCAAATTGGACATTCGGAGCCATGAAGGCCAGTGAACTTGCTAGCTACTTTCCAACACAAGTTCGTTGCCATGTCTCTATCTGAAATGACAGATGTGGTGGGATATTATGACTCGTTTTCCTATTTGTTTTTCACATGAAATTATATGTCTTTAGGAAAACTATATAATAAAAAATACAATTGTAAATAAAAATAAAATTTAAGAGTCCTATTAGGAATTGAAATATGAATCTTATTGAAATTAGAATATCTCATATAATACCTATAAATATAGAGGTGGAAAGTGAGAACCAATTCAAAGTTGTAAAAGAATATGAGAACACATAGTATTTGATGTAAGGGTTATTAAACACTATGGGGAAAGTGTCTTAGAAACTGAGATTGTTTTCACTCTAGGTATTGGGTTGAGCGTGGTTAGAAAATATGATGTTTTTACTCTGTTTTATGTACCGAGTTTATGATGTTATGTACTATTGTATATCATGTTTATGAAACTATAAATTTCTCCCATCCGTAGATGTACGCGGATTATGCTGAACCACGTAAATATCGTATCTATTTGTGAGGTATGATTTTTTTCTTATGTTATTTATCTCGAATGTTTGTTCTCCGCTGCGCGATCTCCTAACAAGATGAACTGTATACTCTAAAATAGAGAATCATCTAATTTGAAATGTTAAAAGAGAGCTTTGATGAGTAGATATTTGAATCCACTCGTTGGGGAGAAAGTCTTTTGTGTAAAAGATGCACATACAATCAGTTTGAAAGGAAAAATCAACTAATTTGTGAAGTCAAGAGAGACTTGATGAGTAGATACCTGAATCCACTCGTTGGAGAGACAAATCTTTTTGTGCAATAGATACACATACAACCATTCAGTGAGGATGTGTTAGGAGAAAGAATTTTATGCAATAGATACGCTTAAAACTAGATAATAAAGACTTATTATGTCAACATTATAATTTGCATGTGTTCTCATTGGTGAAAACCATGAAGAGGTGGCGGAAAAATGATGGAAAGCATGTAAACAAGACATGCAAGCTAAGATATAGATTATAAGATTCAAAACTTTAAATAAAGCATAAATTAATATTATACCTTCTTTTTAAAGCTTAGGTTTGACGAAGACAAGATTCAAAGCTATGAACCCTCTACACTTTAACACCACCTTGAGAGAAAGAGAGGGTGGCCGAACCTAAGAGAGAGCTTGTGTTTTTCTTTTGAGTGAATAATGAACAACTTGACCTAAAATGCAACCATTTGCATTTATATATACATGGGTCATTTTGTAATTCATTCTTTTCACTTGTATGCCTTAATGAGATCTTATTCTAAAAAGAGTCCAAGCCTTTATTAATTTGACTTTTGAATAATATTATTCAAGAGCCCATGTGAACTACACTACTTTACATTAACAATCCATAAGTTTACCCTTTTGCCTTTTAACTATTAAAATGATTATTTTAGTTCATCTCATTTATCTTTACGCTTTAAGATATAATAATTAAATACAATTAATTATTGCTTAACCATTTTAACCTTTAAAATGTCACAAATAATTTTCTATGTAACAATTACCATAGAAATTTTGTCATTATCCTCGAAATGTGCTAGCTCTCTTCAGATAATCATTTCTCTCTCTTATCCTTCTCTAACTTCTCAATGCTATTAGTGTGACCATATAAGTCTACTGTGGATTAGTCGTGAGCCGATTTCGAATGAATCCGGAAACATGTCTGGAGGTTGAACGACTATGGTAAACATCTAGCAATGTACCATAATCCCTAAACCACAATGAAGAAATACTTCATCGAACCCTTTTTAGATCATATGTACCATGCAGGTAAAGTCCCTCCATTGATATATCCTGATCAAGTATGGATTCATAGAACGTCAAAATCCTAATGTCCGAAATTTGTCATCACGAACTTACTTTCGTATAACTAATAATAGACTCTGATCAGAGATTTTGATTTCTGACATTTATCGACGTTCGTCTAGGAACCCAAATTTGGATGGAGTCAGTGGTACTTCTGATCCTATATTTTCGAGTCAATGGATCCCGTCTTGATCATCGTTCGTTTCCACATATGAACAACGCATGACCAAATAGACTTTATCATACGAAACATGACTAGTCTCGTACTTATACACCGTATGAACCATATGCATCCGTATCGGATTCGATCACAATGTCTCAAGTTAAAGGACTACATCGTGCACTGATATAACCAACGATAAATCATTAACTATATGTTTTTCCAAGTGATTTGTTATTATTTGGTCACGTTCAAAAAACAGTTCACCAACCGCTAATCCATACTAATGCTCCGATGACATGACTATCATCATCATCCGTACTTATATCAACTCATGATATCTTTCAGAAGCATCTAGTATGCCTACTCTGCAATATAGTTGCCCAAATTATATTGCTTCTGTAGGAAACCTTTTGATAAATTCATTTACCGATTAAATGAATCATCTGGACAATTCATATATATATTTTATTTTAAATGCATGACTGAATAAAGGAAGTAATAATTTATATATATGAATTGAAGAACTATTTCTTCTATTATTTATGATACATTGATATAAGACAAAATATTTTGAAACCGATAACACGAATGGTTTCTAGGGCATACACTAACATTTACTAACAATTGGTTGGTTGTATGTTTCACGTAAGATTTCTTCCTCGTCGAAAGGAAAAATCAAATTATTCATTATTTAATGGAATATCTACCTAAAAGGAAAAATCAAATTATTCATTAGTTAACGGAGTCTCTAGTTCTCTACCATCTGATAAGTATGCAAATGGGCCACCTGAAACAAGAGGTGTATCTGCTGTACTGCTGCCAAAATGAATTGAGTCATTTTATGTCATTTAGGGTAGACAACCTTAAAGGAGGCACATTGACTTTAAGTTAAACAATGAAAGTGAAGCCTAGGGCTCCATGTGAGTCTGTGTGACAACCCACATGGTAGACATTTAACCTATTGATGTTTCAAGTGAAATCAAATATTGTTCATTGGTTTAGTACACATTTTGATAAGTTATTAACCATGGCCTGGATCACTCACTTTCATGCTAAGTGTCAGCATAGGTTGGTAGGAGGAGACTCGATAACTAGAGTGTTTTTGGGAGATGTACAATATCGTGCAGATAATTTTCATGTTAAGTATGAAACGAAGAAGATAAATAGTCAAGTAGATATAGGATCTCGTGATGAAGTAATTAAAGTAGAATATCATACGAGGTTAATTATATTAAAAGAATTATCTTTTGAGTGGTGACAAATGTTTAAACCAAATTAAAAGTATGTAATATCTAAAGCCAATATTTAAACTGCTGTTTTAGAATTGCCCTTCACCTTAACTTCTAACTCCTATAGATTCTTAAGCTGCAGATTGAGGGATGAAAACCAGAGTCCAATTTCCGTTTTTAACTTATAAAATAAGGGAGCAAACAAGACAAGGATGTGGCAACCGCTATTCTAAATAATTTAATTTAATATGAAGACATTTGTCAAATTTTTGTCATGTTGTGAGCTGAAAATCATATACATATATGCAAAAACAAAAAAAAAATTAAGGGGTCTAACATGTTATATGGTGTGTACAAACTACAAAGTCTTAGCTTCAATATTGGTAAATTAATCAAGTAGCTAGGATGGAGAGAGGAGAAATATCAAGTATTGAGTCACCTCTAATTGGTAATCAAGAAAGATCAGGCTGTGGATTTGATGGGGAAACTTCTCAGCAGCAAGGTGTTAGTATTTGTGAAAATATTGTTGAAGAGGCAAAGAAGCAACTATGGCTAGCAGGGCCACTTATTACAGTCAGCTTATTGCAGTACTGCCTACAAGATATAGCAATTATATTTGTTGGTCATCTTGGAGAGTTGGCTCTATCCAGTGCTTCCTTGGCCTCTTCCTTTGCTTCATTCACTGGTTTCAGTGTTTTGGTAAGTGGGGTTTTCTGATTTATCTTCAATACTTGTTGCTATTGATTAGTTGATTTTGCTAGTTGTGAGTCCATTTGCAAATGGAATTGAATGAAATCTAGGGTTAGTTTAGTTGTGGGACAAATAACCAGTTAATTACCATGTTCTAGTGACTGTTTTAATGCCTATGCAAATGTGAATGACCCTTGAGAATTGCCTCTTCAATCTGAATTCTACAAACATTTGTTGCGAAGTGAAACTCAATTTCTTTGTTACACTACAAAGAACAACTATAAATATGTTGTTCCACATCAGATAGACATAGGTCGGGTCTTGAACTTATAAGGACGGATAGACAGCATCACCTAATAGGCTAATTTTTCGGATAGTTTTTGTATTTGATGAGTCTCCACACATTATATTTCTTTTACAATATGCTGTAGAATTTAATTTGCTGCACTAAAATCATATTTGAAGCAATGCTAAAACTGTGATCTTGTAGTTAGGAATGGGCAGTGCATTGGAGACACTCTGTGGACAAGCCTATGGAGCCAAGCAGTACCATATGCTTGGTATTCACACACAACGAGCAATGGTGACTCTTCTAGCAATAAGCATTCCCCTCGCAGTTATATGGTTCTATACCAGCAACATTCTTATAGCTTTAGGCCAAAATCATGAGATATCAATTGCAGCCGGAATCTTCAATCGTTGGATGATTCCTAGCCTTTTCGCGTATGGCCTCCTCCAGTGTCTAAACAGATTCCTACAAACTCAGAACAACGTTCTTCCTATGTTGATATGCTCTGCAATCACAGCTTTTCTCCACATTCTAGTTTGTTGGGGTCTTGTTTTCAAGTCTGGCCTTGAGAGCAAAGGAGCTGCCTTAGCGATAACCATTTCGAATTGGTTTAATGTGTTTTTGTTGGCAATGTACATAAAGTTCTCTCAGGCTTGTATGAAAACATGGACAGGATTTTCAAGAGAAGCACTGCACGATATTGTGAGCTTTTTAAGGCTTGCTCTCCCTTCTGCAATTATGATATGGTAATCCCATTTCCTGTAAGGCTAGCTATATATAACATTATAATTTATCTAAACTCTTTACTATTTTTGAAACGCAGCTTTGAATATTGGTCATTCGATATGGTTGTTCTACTTTCTGGTCTTCTTCCAAATCCAAAGCTAGAGACATCTGTATTATCTATAAGGTATCCATTTGTAGTCACATCACGTGAACATTGATCGAGTATTATTCATTAACAATGGCTCAATTTCACAGCCTTAACACATGCTGGATGGTCTATATGATCTCTGTTGGTCTTGGTGGTGCTATAAGGTCAATTAACATTTCTCAGTTCTTTCTTTTTTTTTTTTTTTTTTTTCAATCTCCTCTTTCTTCAAGCAACCATCTTAATTCTGTTGTTACAGTACACGAGTATCAAATGAGCTTGGTGCTGGGAACTCACAAGGCGCCCGCTTAGCTCTCAGGGTGATGATCATAATAGCAATCACAGAGGGTGCAACAGTTGGGATCACGACAATTTTGGTACGCCATGTTTGGGGAAAGGTCTACAGCAATGAAGCAGAAGTGATCAAATATGTTGCTAAAATGATGCCACTTCTAGCATTATCCGACTTCTTGGATGGATTCCAATGTGTGCTTTCAGGTCCTAGTTGATCTCAAATCGCAATTAAGAAACTAAACTAAATTCATTTCTATCGTGATTAATATGTTAAATTTAAAACTAATCCAAATCAGTCCATTTAATATGTAGGAGCTGCAAGAGGATGCGGATGGCAAAATCTCTGTGCATTAATCAACCTTGGAGCTTATTATCTTGTAGGAATTCCTTCTGCAGTGCTCTTTGCATTTTACTTTCATATTGGAGGCATGGTAAGTCTCTCTTTTTCCTTTCCTCTCTTTCATTCGCGAAAATGCTTACTGCTTACTGTTGCAATTTCGATGTTATAATAAACCTGCAGGGGCTTTGGATGGGAATCATTTGTGGACTTTCTGTACAAGTTTTGGCACTTGTTACAGTAAATGCACATACTAACTGGGATCAAGAGGTAAGCCAATTCTGTCAAGCTAGATTTGAAACCTAACACTTCTTTTATTTTTATTTTCTTACAGATAATGTCTTTTATGTGTTTTTTTACCCTTACAGGCAGCTACAGCCCTGCGCAGAGTTCAGAAAACCGGCCTTCTTATTGACACTGCACCATAGAGTTGCATTTTGCATCAAATCAGGACAACCAGTTGAAGCTAGATTGATATCTTCATTGAGGAAAGCGAAAGCTTCTGTATAAATGATAAAGCAATTATGTGCATAAAATCAATTTGCAGTCATGAAAATCACTGGATTTACATAAATTACTCTCCTTACCAAAGAAGCTATTCATTGTTGTATCTATTATGCTACCTAATAACATAGGGAAGCCCAATACAATATCCAAACAAGTTTAAGGCAAAAAGCATTTTAGGTTGAAACCTTGAGAGCCTGAAAACAAAATTGTGCAAGCATCTACTTTGATCATATTTGAATTCAGTAAGTAACAAAATTTTTTAAGTATAAGCAGCTCAGCAATCAAAAGGCAAAAGATGCTACAAACATTTCACTTAAGACTTTACAAAAGCTGCTCTCAGGAACCAAGTCACTGGAATTGCATATGTTTGACATTTTCAAAAGTAATTCACCAGTAATAGCCACCATGCAAAAGTCGTAAAAAAGATGGAGGCTTGTTGTGTAGAAAATTTGACACTGCAAACTACTGCTCATGAGGCGGATGATCAGGAGAGGGGGGTACTTCTCCGTTCCCATGCAGATGATCAGGTGAGGGGGGCAGTTCTCCATTCCCATTTGTTTCGATAGCATGATCAGGTGAAGGAGGATTTCCTTCTGCAGGCTCATTGTTCTCTGGATGAAAATTGATTGGAAATTTTGTGACTCTAGGCTTGTCAGCTAATATATTTCTTTGAACTTTATCAATCAAAACCTTTGGGGGAGGTTCCTCTCTTAGCTGCTCATCATCGTAATCATTGTTTACATAGTATCCCACTCGGATAAATTCCTGTCCCATGTAAGAGCACGTCAATAGCAGCACTGTGACGCCAATTATATCCTCTTCACGAATTTTTGAGGGGTCTGGAGGGTCTGCCTGTCAAGAGTCCAATAATGTAATTCATAAGGTGTAAAAGTAAATGCTTAGAAACTAGTTTAAGAGCATGCAAAGGTGTGATCAAGAATTACCTGCAAGACAAAACGATAGTTCCCAACATTTACAGGGCCAACAAGCACACTTTCTAAGAGTTGGTCGTAAGTTTCATCCTCAGCAGATCCCACGTAAATGAGTTTCCATTCCAAATCTGTAACAAATTGAGTGTTAAATGGGAATTCACCAAGTAAACTAAAGTGACTTCAGATATACGTTTTAAATTGAGAAGAAAGATGTCAAGACAGTTTAAAGAATCAAGATAAAAAATGCACATCCAGCAAAATGAGATTGTCACACATTGATAGACATTTAGTCACGAAAATAGTACAACACCGAAGGTAAAATTCATTATAAGCAATATTTAATTGGATAGATATACATAATACTCAAAAGCAAACGAATATAGCAGATTCTTCTTTTTCTTTTTCAGATAAAAGTAGACAGAAATATACTTCAAAAATTAAAACAAATGCATCCACCTTTACAGCCTAAAATACATACAGTTGAAATTTACATCGAAATTCAAATCATTTTTTCGATTGGTATGAATTTTTAACAAATTCAACCTTTTCAGTCAGTACAGCATATTTCGGAATAGTTATAGCATCCTTTTTATATAAGCCCTTTTATTCATCTTTACAAAATTGGAACATACTTAATTTAGTTTCTAAAAGAGGCCCTAATAGAATTCTTTTGCTGTATCCAAATTAATACCAATCCAACCCATTTCATGAATAAAATGTGACCAATTAACCAACCAACAAAACCGCTTGTTACAAATAACATTTTGTTGTTGCATCGAAACATAGAAATGTTGAATAATCTGACTAACATTGAACTTGGTAAAATGAAATGATTGAATAATTGAAAAATGAGATTATTCAAGAATACACATTGAATGCTAAGATTACCCATTGAATTTTTTATAGTAGATCTATAATCAAAAAAGTTTTTGTGATTGTTCCAAAAGAGATGAAACAAAAGATAAGATAGAGCGAGGATAGTTATTGTATGAGGTCTACCCAATGCTAGATGCAAAAGTGCATAACAGATCGATATGAACATCATGAGCTATCCCGCAATAAAACCAGTTATTGTTGATACCTTCTTCTCGGTTCCTTCTTCTCCTTCTTCCATAATCCGAGCTCGAAGAAGGAAGAGATAAGAGGGCACTATGGAGAATGTGGTTAGAAATCCATAATAGAGTCCGACTACAACGACTGAATTGATTATCTTCATGCATAAGGATACTAGATTACCTAGTATAAAAGATTGAAAAATCATCACAAACCTCCCCTTTTTCTTTTCTATTTCAATTTCTGGATTATTATATAATGATTTTTCAACTTCTCATATATAGAAATAGAAACAAATAGACTAGAAACGACATCCCTTATGTCAATTCTTATGTCAATGACACCAAAGGGATATTAAATGAATGGAATTGGGATATGGATGGAATATAATGAAATAAAGCCACTCTAAGGTTCCCTATGAAACGAGGCATGGAATGGAGCCACTATGAAGAAGTTCCAAGAGTTACAAAAGAAACTTCGAGTTCATATTGGTCATGGGTTGAGAACGGGAATTGAACTCTATGAGATAGAATCTCCCACTGTTCCTCAGTAGCTCAATGGTAGAGCGGTCAACTGTTAACTGACTGGTCGTACGTTCGAATCCTACTTGGGGAGATTTGATTCATTCCGAATTAAAGCATTCAAAATGTTAGAATAAACGGGTTCACTTTGACCATTCAAAATAGGTAACTCGTTCCCTGTGTCTTTCTTTCTATTGCATTCTATCTCATCGTATCACATTCTGTTCTGCGATATTTGAGAATCACTATCAATACCTCGGTTTCATAAATTTAAGAACACACATTTGAAAGCATATTGCAATGATACAAATAATGAGAGAACTTGGTGGTTCAATCCCAAAAGCAAGTCTCTACATCAAGCTTTAAGAATAGGCTGTCGAGTAGGATAAAACAGATTAACAGTCACCCCCGAAAGTAAATAACTTGAACATTCATACTTGTGGATTAACATTTACTGACACAAACTACTTCCGTCAAAGTCTATCATCGTTGTTCATCATTCAACACCATAATAGAAGTTAAAACATAAGAAAAAATACTCAATGATTAAGATTAAAGATCTAGAACTTGAGAGAAAATACTCTATCTCACCTATATAGAACCAACAAATTTCAAGGAAATGAATAAAAAGTCTCCCTAACCGGCTTAACAAACTTAAAACTAAAAACTGGGATCACGGTGAACCCTACAAGCTTCAAAAGCATGAAACTCATAGCCCTTTCGCGAAGTAAATGGCCCTGAGGAATTGGATCACAAACCATACCACTCTTCTAACCCCTCAGCAATAATTATACCTCACTATTTATTTCAGCTCTACATTTCAACACATTACTTCCAATATATTGAATTTTAATGGGTTAAAATTAATCAAACCCCGGTTGATAAAATTACACAAAAATGCTTCATAACGCATAAAAACAACACAATTTTCGCAAATAAATCAGCTAATTATACAATTACATCAAACCCTATCTCAACTTAAATTACAGTAATTCAAATAAAAAAATTAGGGGTTTTGTCAAGTTACCGTCTTTAAGAGGAGTCAAGCACTCGTATGAGATTTCGAACTGAAAGGGGTTTAGGAAGGCGGCGGGGTTGTCCAAAACGGTGACGTTCGTGATGTTGACGGCGCTCATAGTAAAGAACCGCAGTGAANAAGGCTTCTAATTCCAACAACTTGCCTGTCAAAGTGAGAGAAAGATCGTGGGTGCTTATCTGGAGTAATATAGTTCAATATTGATGTAATTTCCAGGTTAAATCAATTAATATGTAGAAGGAATTGTTTCAAAATAATTAATAAACGTAATATAACATCACTAGTCACTATTTTTGGGTGAAATGATGTACTGGAAAGGTACACAAATTAAAGTTTTTGACATATAATTCTTACAACCAAAAGTCAAATTTAAATAATCTTCCAGGGCTTTGAAGCTGACCGGTATGAGAAATTTGGGTGATATCCATCCCTTGGATAGATAGATAGATAGAGAGGGCAGAGCTTTTGGTTTTTCTTTCTTGTGAAAGAGTTGAACAATGGTTTTTTGTGTTGTCAAAGAGTTGAACAATGAAAATAGATAGTGAATGCCTGATCGAATTGATCGAGTCATGTAGGAATAAGGTTCAAGTCTATCGATCTGTTAGGATGCCTCAGCTACATACATCACTACAATTTCACTCGACACCTATCGTAATGATAAACATCTTGTCTCGTCGTGACCTTCTCAGGAATTCTCAAAACTTTTGTCGCTCCATTGCCGTAGGGACAAAAAACCCATCGCTTTCTTGGCTGTGCTAGCGGAGGCTCTCGGCAAGAATAGTCCCACTGAAATCTCAAAGCTATTGAAACTTGATTTTATAATATACATGTTCTGGTTTGGGTTTTAAATATATAGAGAATTGCACTCTCAGTATACAACTGTACTCAATGCGTACTTTGAACCGATCCACAACCATAGGATCCAGTGTCCACAAAAACTGAAGTTAAATTGATTGGTGAGTAGGGCTTTTACGTAGCAGATATTCCAGGATGAAGTGAAATACATATTTGAAAAATTCCAAGAATTGGACTCCAGACATTTCCAGCACTTTCGAGGACAAAAATAATTGAGGGTTGTAGATGAAAAAAATCTACCGTCATGAAAATAGGTCTGATCCTGTGAGGTTGAGGCCATTGATTATCCGCTAGACCTACACACATGAAAGGGCAAGCGTGAAGCTTCCGGAAAACACCGGGGTGGTATTTGCCATAGGCACTTCGACGCTCAAGTCAGCGAGGCTGAAAAAGATTATTTGATAAGAATTAAGGAGATGAATAATTACCAGGAGTTTTGTCGGAGGCTAGGTCTATGGCGGAGGCGTTGGGTTCTTAGGAGCAAATAGATGGTTTTGAGTGGTGTAGATTGACTATGAGAGATTACATGCTTAATGAGAGGGCAAGCCTCTGTTTTTATAATGAACCCAAGGGGTTGGAATCCTAGTAGGACATTGAGTCCTCTTTTTTGGGAGATAATCCCTATCAGGTTAAGTTTAATAGTTTGATTTCTTCACCTTATTAGATTAAGTTTAATAGTTTAAATAAGATTTGTAATCTTAGTAGGACACTAAGTCCTATTTTGAGAGATAATCCCTATCATGAAAGAGACATGATTTCTTGATCTTATCAAATTAAGTTTAATAGTTTAAATAAGATTTGGAATCTTAATATAATACTAAGAACTATTTTGGGAGATAATCCCTATCGTGAAAGAGATATGATTTATTAACCTTATCAGATCAAGTTTGATAGTTTGAGTAAGATTTGAAATCTTAGTAGAAGAGGAAATAGAATGGGATTCTGATTTCCTATTTATAGACTGTTGTAGGCTAATGGGCTGAAACCCAGTTTAGCTTAACTTATAGGATAGTCCAACTCATAAAGTGTGTAGTTTACAAAATGATTTTAAGCGTAGACCCAATCGGAATTGGGTTAAGGCCTTGGGCCGTGACATGTTTATTTTGTTATTGGGCCTCATCAAGCCCAAGACAATTTTTGGCCGGGTCAACAAGAAATTCAGAATATATACAACACTGATTGAAATATGGAAATTAAACTGAAAAATGGTTTTATTAACTGTGATCACATGAACTGCAGCTGATCATTAAAACAAATGAAAATGCAGGATATAGTCAGTCCAAGAATAAACCATCTCACCTAAATAAAAAATGCCTTCAAAGCTAAAATCATACATACTTCTACAAGCCTTTTTTTTTCTGAAGTTATTTGATGATCTTATTTCATAGAGACCAAATTCTCTTTTTTTTTTCTTTTTTTTTTTTTTTTTGTTCTCGATCATTGGAGGATACATCAAGGTCTCCCAATGATCTCCAGCGTGATCATGTATAACTTATTGGTAAGTTATTCTCAACGGGAATCATTCATCATTGATTCTTGTATTTCTTCTAACGCTCGACCCTTGGTTTCTGGCACCAGCTTTGCGATGAATAGAACACCAAGAGCACATACGCCACCATATATGAAGAATATTCCTGAAATAATGTATAGATAAATAACTCAGCAACTTCAACTCAAAATAATACTAGTACTTGTACCCTTTCCTAAAACAAGTGATTTCCCATGTAGTTTAGAGATTCATCAAAATCTTTCCTTTCCAAATTATTCGAACGCGGTTTCAGATGAATTTCAAAACCACTAGGATCTGTTTATTCTAGTGAGAATGAGAGAGAAATAAGTTGGCAATGAGGGAGGCATCACCTGATTGGCTCCAATCAAATAAATAGACGAATGTGTAGGAAACAAGCCAAGATCCAATCCAACTGAAAAGGACAACAAGGCTTCCAGCTGGACCCTTAATGTTTATAGGAAAAATCTGGAACAACAATCCATCATTTAGTACAACCAATTAAAGCTTTGTTTGTCTCAGAAGCTGAGAAAATATTATGCATTACCTCTGACATTATAATCCAGGGTATTCCTCCTAGACCAAGTTGAAGAAGTCCCAAATACACCTGATNGACGTCTTCGGGCCTACTCTAGTTGAATCTATTGGTAAATCCAGGCATTATGTATCTTTTATAGATGTTTTTTCTAGATACTATTGGGTTTATTTCATGCGCAGCAAGTATGAAGCTTTTGAGAAATTCCAAGAATTTAAAGCATTAGTTGAGAATTAGTTCGATAGGAAGATTAAGGCTTTGTAAACTGATAATGGTGGTGAGTTTTGCTTTAGTAAGTTCAAGCAATTTTGTGCGACACGTGGAATTGCAAGGCAGAAAACTACACCTTACACGCCTCAATAGAATATAGTGGTTGAACGTCTCAATTAGTCACTGTTAGAGAAGGCTAGGTGTATGCTGAATATAACATATTTAGGGTCTGAATTTTGGGCAAAGCTATTGCAATGGCATGTTATTTGAAGAATCTATCTCCCACTTCTTTTGTTAAAGATATGATGCCTTATGAAGCTCTGGATGGTAAGAAGCCTTATATGTCCTTTATTCGGGTTTTCGATTGTGATGCATATGTGTATGTGCCAAAGGATAAGAGAAGCAAGCTTGACAGTAAATCTGAGAAATGCAAGTTTGTGGGGTTCAAGAAACCAATCGTGTTGTCGGTTTCAGGGCATTATATCTTGTAAATATTCTTTTAAGAATATAAGAAAGAGTTCTGATTTCACATATTGTTTACTGCTTCATTTATACTATTTATAATGCATGTGAAATGTCCGGATGAAACGAATCTTTAGAAGATTAAATCATCAAAGCATTCCCTACGTAAGTGATGTTAATTGGGCAATAACATTGCATAGTAGGTATGCTAAATGCCTCAATTGAATATCATGTGATGGTATTAGTGTGGGTGATTATAAGAGTTATGTCACTAGGGCATTAGCATGGACAAAAAGTTGGTGAATAGTTTATCGAATATGACCAATTATGATGAATCACATGGACATTTAGAATGTGGTCAATGATACATCGTAGGATCGTACTATTGTACCACTGATCCTTAGACCTAAGATGCAACAGTCTTGTAGGAATGATCATCTTCTTTGAGATGCAACTGACAATTAACAAAGAAAGGTTGGCCCAAATCTAACAAATCTAAGAATTCTACAACCGTTCAGAAAGCCAAACCGGTAAATTTATAATGGAATGAGCCTGGTGGTAGTCTTATATAATGACTAGTGTTTTGAAAGCTAAACCACTCTAGAATTTCACTTCATGGGAAACTCATACAATCTTTTGGATTCACACAGTTCATGTCCAATAAGAAAATCTAGTATTGTTAGTTTAACATCAATTTTTTTATTCAACAAAAAATAAAAGTAAGAATTGACTTTGTATGATAGGCGAGAAACCTCTTCAATTTCTGAGCATAAAATTTTATTTTGCTNAAGCAGGAAAAAAAAAGGTGTTCTGCATTCCTTTCATTTAAGAATAAATAGCAACAAGTGGAACATTTATCTCCACAAAAATAGGAATGACTAAACCCAACGTTCAAGTTGGTTTTTTCTAGAACTAACAACCCAATAAACTAGGCTAGACTTATTCAAATACTAGACTAATTCAAAGTTTATTCAACCAAAACAATGTATAAATAATTCCATAAAATAATACTCGTATCAACTCCCTTCCCCTTAAATTTCAGCCTAGTCCACAAGGCAAATATTCGAAAATTGTTTCTAAATTATTTCACGATCCTCCCAAGTTGCTTCAGCTGGGGATAAACCTTGCCAATGGACCAAAACCTGCTGTCGGTTACCCTTCATTCGTCTGTCCAGAATAGCTTGCAGCAAGGGAAACAATTTCTTTCCATCTTGACCCATGACAGGAAGCTGTGATTGAACAGAGTGATCACCAATTTTCTTTTTTAATAAAGAAACATGGAACATTGGATTTATTCTTGAGGATTCTGGTAATTCCAACTTATAAGCCACCTTACCAATCCGCTACAGCACCTTGAAAGGCACATAGAACTTAGCAGATAGCTTCATATTTTGTCTCCTAGCTAATGACAATTGTCTATAAGGCTGTAGTTTAAGAAATACCCAATCACCTTCTGAGAATTCTCTCTCTTGATGCTTTTAGTCATACATCTTCTTCATTCTAGCTTGCGCCTTTTTGATGTTATCCCAGGCAACCTGAT